TTCCAGTAGGGGTCTCGCACATTGATGCACTCGATGATGGCGGGCCCCTGCTCCAGGGAGTGGCCGGGGTCGCAGCTGAACTCCACCACGGTCCCGATGTTGTAGGTGGGGTCGGACGTGGTGAAGTTCCCGTTCTGCAGGTAGGGCTCGTAGCAGTGGCCCTTCTCGAAGGCTGGGTGGGGCGCAAGGGGGCAGCTCAGGTGAGTTAATGTGAAACGCAGGCAAGAACCCTGCCCTCTGGGGTCCCACGAGTCCCTCCCTGTGTCCCGCGAGTCTCCTTCCCAGGGCCCGTCACATCTGCATCCTGATCTCTGCCACCAGAGACTATAAAAAGGGCCCCAGGATCAAGACCACGGTGGGGGGACACCGGGTGGGAAGGGGCCGCAGAGCACTGAGCGGCTCAGAGCATCCTGCGCCCCAGGGCCGGGTGCCCTTGCTAACTCTTCCTGCAGGAGGAGGTGGCTGGATTCTAAGAGGTCCCACTGGGTGGGACAGAGCCATGCTTAAGGACAAAAATCTCAGCTGCCATCTCCCTAAGTGCTGGCCTCGGGGAAAGTCCCCCGAGTTCCTTGGATGAGTTTAGGTTTCTCATCCGAAGCAGAGGTGATACCGGGTGCGCCCAGGGTGGCCGGGTGGCCCAGTGCGCACATGCGCACGGACACACGGCGGCAAGGGGTCGGCGGCATGATTGACAGATCCGCCTCCGGGAACCCAGGGGGAGGCTGGCCTCGGGGTCCGGACTTCTCCCTCCCAGACCCTGGGCCCCAGCGCCCTTCCCTGGTCCCAGGCCACCACCCGGGAGAAGGGGAGGCCCCCGGGAGGCTCACCCTCAAAGCGGATGTTGAAGGCGGTGGCCGCGGGGCCCTGGTGGGACGTGAACTCGATGCGGATGCTGTTGGCGTGGCTCAGCAGACCCTCAAAGGGGACGCTCTCGGCGCGGAGGGAGTCGTACAGGAGGGCGGAGGCGTTGGTTGGCCCGCTGTAGACGGCCATCCTGGGCGAGAAAGGACAGGGAGCCGGTCCTGAAGGAGGAAGCCGTGCTCCCTGGGCACTGGGTCCCCGCTGAGCTCCGCCGGGGCCTCATCTCCTAAGGTGCGGGGGTCAGGGGTCCCCAGCTCCAGTCCCCACAGGGGCGCACAGGAGCCTGTCACCCCCGGGCCTCCGTGTCCCCAGCTGTGGAGGAAGGGATCCCAGAGTCCCTCCCAGACCTCCTCACAGGTGGGCTTTGGGGACAGGTCAGCAGAGAGCGCCCCCCACGGAGCCGGGGGACTCCTTTTTATTGTCATTGGAAACCGCGTCGCCCCTGACGCCCGCTAGTCTGAGTGTTTTGAAAAGACGTTGTGCCGAGGCAGGGCAGGAAAGCGGCTTGCGGCGAATTAGGTAAATCTCTTTTATGGAGTCGTAAACACGCATTTTTAGTCCTTTGAGTGTTTTTCTTTTTTTTAACTATGACTCATAAAAACGCTTTATTTGATGCTGCCCGGATGGATTTCTAATGTCACCAAGACGCACACCGGTGGGGGCTGCCGTTTGTTCCTTTTGCCACGTGTGCAGGACGGTGGCGCTGGGGAGAGGGGCCATGGTCCAGGCCAGGGGCCACCCAGGACCTGGGAGGGCGTCTCTGCAGTCCTCCCATCCTGTTGACCCTGACATCTCGGGGGGGCTGTGGGCCAGGAGTCCTCTTTCAAGGGATCTGAGGCAAGATGGGCTGCTCTCGAGGGAGACCCCGGGATCTCAGAATCCATCCATCTTCTGGACACAGCCCCTGGCCAGCTCCCTGCCCTCCGGGGTCTGCGATGGGAGGACGTCTGTCTCAGAGCCTTCTGAGGTCTGTGGTCGGGTGGTCCGGGGAACGCTGGGTTAAGCCAGAACAAAGCTGTTTTCTTCCTGCAGAACTTATCAGAGCCTTTGTTGGCTGATGTGTATCAGGACCTTCCAAGAGGGGAGAGGGCAAGCACGCCGTGTCTCCCAAATGTGCTTGTGGGCTGCGCAGGACGGGGTGGGAGTTCAGGAAGACATCATTTTGGGGAAATGTTCCTCATGTCTTTCCTCCCGGGGCCCCCAGTGCCCTACAGAAGCAGCTGGACTCTCTGAGGCTGTCGGTAGGTGACCGTGATTTATCTGCCCAGCCCATGGGCTCTGTGTCCTGTGAGAGCCTCCGCCACGTGCCCTCCCAACACGCTGCTACTTCCTTCCTTGGTTCCCCCTCCCCTCCCCTGAGCTGCTCATGCTGGAAACACTCTTTTCTCTGGAATTCTGAGTTTCCTCAGTCAAATCTCTTTTCAAGGTCTAGCTCAAATTCCCATTTCTGTTTTCTTCTTTTGGTGCCAGGGATTGAATTCAGGGACCCACGACCCCTGAGCCCATCCCCAGCCCTACTTTGTAATTTATTTAGAGACAGGGTCTCTGCGTTGGCATAATGTATTTTCAAAACACTCAGACTAGAGTTGCTTAGGGCCTCACTTTTGCTGAGGTTGGCCTTTGAACTCGCCATCCTCCTGCCTCAGCCTCCTGAGCTGCTGGGATGACAGGCTGGTGCCATGGCACCAGGCTGAAGGTCCCATTTCTTAAGTTGAGCTTTACTGACCTCTGAGTTCTTGCAACCAGTAAATACTGTGGTATTTTAGCTATTTTTCTCATAAAAATGGAAAATCCCCTGAGCTCCTATTGCCCCTGAAAGTTCTGCTGGCTTCCCACCACCCAGCGCCCATGAGACTCTGCCGTCCCAGCTCAGAGGTGGCAGGCAGGGCTGGTCCCTCCAGCAGGACCGTGCTGCTCCCCACAGGTCCCCAGTGTTCAGAACCCAGCTGTCACCAGCCAGGCTTCTCCCTTCACTTTCCCAGCCCCTGTGAGCACCCACAGCGTCACCTCCCAGGTAGGCGGCTTCCCCACATCCTGCCTGCTGCCCGCAGAGCCCCGCCTAAGACCCACGTCTAAGCCCTGGAGGTCCCAGACTTCCACAGAGTCCTAGAGCACGGTGCCAGAGCGCGCAGGGGGTCAGACCTGGACTCTGTGCCTGGGGTCTCCTGGCTGTCCCCTTGAACCCTGCTCTGTGGTGTGCTCACACCTAGTTGTCCCTCCCCACCCCGCTGGGAACCCAGGCGCCACTTCTCTCTGCTTTTCGCCTGTTCTCCCTGGAGCCGACCACCTGGCTGGGCACGGGGCAGGTGCTGGGGAGACGGTCCCCACCTTGTTCCACTGCGAAAGGGGGCAGGAGAAGGGACCTGAGGGGTGGGGACCTCGAGTCCCTCCCTCCCTCCCTTCCCCCGCCTGCTGTGTGACCTGGGCTCGTCCCCGTCTCCTGCCATGCCACATGTTGGTCGCTTTATGTGGGAGAGGAAGACATGGCGGCCGATGCCCCCTGAGGTCCCTGCCACCCTCCCCCCAGCGCTCGCTTCCTCGGACTCCGTGGGCCAAAGCCTCTGTCCACCTGGGGACCCCGAACCCCGGAGCCGGGAGAGCGCGGGGCAGGGTGCCGCCCTCCGTCGTACCTGTCCTTGTCATGCAGCGAGAGCCTCTCGAAGTGCAAGTGCAGCTTCTGGCCCTCGGGGGCCTCGATGGTCCACACGCAGAACTGGCTTCCGTTGGCGTTGGCGGGGTGACTCGGGGAGAGGACGCGGCCGATGGTGGCGTTGTGCACGGCTCCTCCGCAGGGGGCTGGTCCACGTGGGCGGGCAGAGAGCAGAGAGAGGGAGGCCGTGGGTGTCCCCCCCCCAGTCCCACCCTTACCCCTCAGCCTGGGTGGAGCACGGGAGAGCCCGGGCGGGAGTTGGGGTGCCTGTGGGGACGCGTGGAAGAGTCTGCTCCTCCAGGAGGCTTCATCCTGTTGCATGGACCCACTCCACGCCCGGACCCCCGACATGAGTGTGTCATGGGAGGGATGACTGCGATCTGGGCTCTTTTCCACGGAGCCGGCTGTGCCCCGACTTTTAATCACACAATGTTCATTCAGTGGGCGCGGTGGCGCACGCCTGCCATCCCAGTGGCTTGGGAGGCTGAGGCAGGAGGATGGCGAGTTCAAGGCCAGCTTCAGCAAAAGTGCGATGCTAAGCCACTCAGGGAGACCCTGTCTCTAAATAAAACACAGAATGGGGTTGGGGTAGGGCGCAGGGGTGGAGGGCCCCGAGTTCAATCCCTGGTACCGAGTTCAATCCCCTCCCTCTTCCGAAAACCAAAGACAACAAAAAACTCAACAAATCCACCACCAACCGCAAAAACAAAATAAATGTTAATGGAGAAGGACACAAAAAGTTCACAAGATCAGACATCCAGCTCAGTGACTCAGGACGCACAACAACATGCAGGCTCACGAATAATAACAGGACGCAGTCTAAACTCTGCGGATCCACCTAATTGGTCAGGATAAAAACCGGAGATGGTAAAAGTCACGAGAAAGGCCACTCTTATCCCTGACTAGCGAGGATGCAAACGTTAGGACCTTTCAGACGGGCAATGAGGCGGGAAGGTGGGAGAGTGGGTTCAAGTGCTCTGACCTTGGAATTGCAGCTCTAGGAATGGATCCTATGAAAGGTTTGGAGATTTGCTCGTGGATTTAAGAAGGAGGGCGCACCTCACCGCTTTGCTTCTCTGAGGAAACAAGACACAACGCAGGCTCCTCTCACAGGGGTTTGGTGGAATAAATACACTCTCTCTGGGTGGTTATCAAAGGCCGTGTTTTCAAAGAACACTTACGAACATAAGAAAATGCTCGCTATTTTTTAAGTGAAAAAAAAAAAGCAAGACAGAAAATATTCTGTCGTGCATATTTCAATGAGCTGTTGGCCAGGATCGGTTGAGACCATGAATATAAAAGTGATTTGCTTCTATCTTCTGCACTTTTGAATTCCTTGAAATTTTTTTTTAGCAGAACCATATATTACTTTTATCATAAAAATGTAATAAAGAAATATTAAAAAGTGATTTGTGCCCTAGAAAGAGGTACACAGCTCTCTCAGTTCACAAATGAGGAGCCATTCTGACTCTTATGCCCAGGAGATGTTGGGTTCTTAGGAAACTGTTTTGTCATGTGCTGTCTGGGGAGCTGTTTCTCCATTCTGCATTTTTGTCTCTGTAAGATGTGGGTTTCAGCAGGGAGTGGTGGCCCACGCCTGTCATTCCAGCAGCTGGGGAGGCTGAGGCAGGAGGATCACGAGTTCAAAGCCAGCCTCAGCCACAGGGAGGCCCTAAGCCACTCAGTGAGACCCTGTCTCTCAATAAAACACAGAATAGGGCTCAGGTGGGGCTCAGGGGTCAAGGGCCCCTGAGTCCAATCCATCATCATAATTATTTTGGCTTTTCTTGTACACTGGCACCTGAATGAGTTCACGATGTGTAGCATGTGCTCAGTAAATATTGAATAAACAATAACCATTCCTTTTGTAAAAGAGGAAAAAGAAGTCCAGAGGTGATAAGCCACTAGCCCAAGGACACAGGGCTAGGAAAGTGGAGTAGATGGGACTCAAACTCATGATGCTTGACTCTGGAATCTGTTACTGCAGCTACTCCTCCATCCTGTTTCTAATTCATGGTGATATTCTACAGATCTCAGAGTGCATGGAGTATATTGAGCACTTTATAAATGTTTGTCGATTGAGAAATTGATCTTTCTTTTTTTCTTCTGGACATATAGCAAATGCTCATTGAGTATTTGTTGAATGACTATGTGACTGAATAGGCTTTTTTTTTGGTGGTGGTAGGGATGTCCCAGGGATTGAACACAGGAGTGCTTAACTACTCAGCCACATCCTCAGCCCTTCTCTATTTTTTAATTTTCAGATAAGGTCTCACTAAGTGGCTGAGGGCCTTGCTAAGTTGCTGAGGCTGGCCTTGAGATGGTGATCCTCCTGCCTCAGCCTCCTGAACGGCTGGGATTACAGGTGTGCGCCACTGCACTCAGCTCTGAATACCGTTACAGCAGAAGAGCTGAGTGGGTGGGTAGGTCTCCTCTCTGCTCTGGACTTTGCTGTGATAGGCACCAAAGTTGCCAGAAAGGTCCACACGTCCTTCAGGACCACGGACAGAGCCCAGTCCGAAGGCCGTCAAGGCTGTGCCCGCGGGTGCAGGGTCAGTGTGACACAGCTGGTGCTTCCCAAACCATGATGTGCCCACGAGCCACCCGAGGGGCGTGTGAAATGCAGATTCTGACTCGGCTGGTTTTGCACGGGGCTCAGGACGGTGCGTTCAGGACCTCGCTGCGAGGACTGAACGTGTAAAGGGCGCAGCTCAGGCGCGGGGCGCTCCGGCCTCGGCCCACACTTGCAGCCTGGTACCTCGGCTCCAGGCCTCCCTCACTGAGGGGCGGAGCGCCACCTGGTGGCCACGGAGGCCCTCGGAGCATCTCCGGCCATCTGTGCGCCACACAGCGGCCCGGGCCTGAATCCACGCAGGTGTCCGCCACTCGTGCACCCATGTCGCACCCGAGGACCTTGAGCCACGTGGGTGCTGCCCCTGGCCCAGCCTCTCCGCAGCTTAGCCGACTGGTCCCGTTTTACTTTCTCAGACTCAATGGCTTCCTCCCCCCTCAAGGCCTCTGCACTTGCTGCTTCACCTGCCTGGAGTGACCGTCCCGGCCTTTAGCCCAGTTCTCTCCCAACGCTCCAGATGCTGGTTTGGAGGCGTTCCCTGGGACTCCTCCCTGGGACTCCTTCATGGACTCCTCCCTGGGACTTCTTCCTGGGACTCCTCCCTGGGACTCCTCCCTGGGACTTCTTCCTGGGACTCCTCCCTGGGACTCCTTCATGGACTCCTCCCTGGGACTTCTTCCTGGGACTCCTCCCTGGGACTCCTTCATGGAACTCCTTCCTGGGACTCCTCCCTGGGACTCCTTCATGGACTCCTCCCTGGGACTCCTTCATGGACTCCTCCCTGGGACTCTTTTCCCATCCTCACCCCTCATTCTCACCTTCGCGCCTCCTCCCCGCACACCCTTCCTTGTGGCCACCCCTCTCACCCTGATTTCTAATGTCTCTCTGGTCCCCACTCATCTGCATGGGTCCATGCGGAGAGTTCATTTCCTGGCACTTGTCACAGTCCCTAAGTAATGTCTCCTTTGGTCCCTGCTGGCTCATGTGCACACTGTATTGTGCACTCGGTTGGAGACCCCCAGAGCCGGGGCTGGGGACAGGCTCTCTGAGTCGGCCAGGCACTGGGGCGGCACCCTGCACACAGAGGTGCTGCCGGACAGAGGTCTGTGGAGTGACCAGTGGATAGGAACGGCTCTGGTTGACAAAGAGCCACATGCACGTGGGATTCCTTCTGCGTCTTGAAGTCTTAGCAGCTGTCTGCAGAGGGCAGGACCCAGAGTCCACTCCCCTTGGCTGGAGGGTGCCAGGCTGTGGGCAGGCTACCTTCCCCAGCTGCCTGGTGACTTGAGGCAAGTCACCTCACCTCCGTGAGACTTATCATGAAATGGGGGCAGTGTTTCCCAGGAGGTGGGATTAACTACAGCCTCTGGCAGGATGCTCAGTGCATATGAGCTCAGCTAAAAAGAAAAAAATATGGCGGCAATCACGCCCCAAACACAAGCAACAAAGAACAATAGATAAATGAGACGTCATCGAAATTAAAAATATATTTTTTCCCTCCATCAAATGGCACTATCAAGAAGTGAAAAGACAAACCCACAGAAGAGGAGGAAATATTTGTAAATCCTATGTATTCTAAGGGCTTAGTATCCAGAATATATAAAGAACTCTTAGTATTCAACAAGAAAAATACCCCAAATAGTCATTAAACCCTGGGCAAAGGACTGGAGCGGAGGTTTCTTTAAAGAAAATATACATGACTGACAAGTGTACAAGAAGATGCCGGGCATCATTGGTTATCAGGGAAGTGTGGAAACCACCATGAGGGCTGGGATTCGGCTCAGTGGTACTGCACATGCCTAGCATGTGGGAGGCTCTGGGTTCAATTCCCAGCACGGCAAAACAAGACCAAATGGCACTTTCATACCGGTATGACCGCTATGACAATAGCATGGGGTATAACAAGAGGAGAAACGGGTGTCCTCGAACATATGGCTCTTGGAAATATAAAACCACTGCATGGGAAAATTCCATTTTTTGGATACCTAAGAGACATGAGAACTATGTCCCCGTGAAGACTTGCATACAAATGCTCACAGCAGCCTCACTTACAACAGCAAAAAGTGGAGGCCACTCCAATGCCCATGGTCAGAAAGGCAAAAGCTGGTAGAACCACGCAATGCATATTATACAGCCATGAAAAGGAACGGAGCTCCCATACAACCTGAAATCTGAACGAACCTTGCCAATGTCATGGCCGGTTACAGAAATCACGTGAGATATGATCCCGTGTACATGAATTTCCACAATGAGCCGATCCCCGGGGGACAGAAAGGAGCCTGGTGGTTGCTAGGGGTTTCTGGGAGAGAGGATGGGGAGGAACTTCTCAGGAGGAGAGGGTTTCCGTTTGGATAAAGATGTCCTGGAACTAGACTGTGGTGATGGTGACACAATATTGTGAATACACTAAATGTTTCTGGTGGAAAATTTTGTGCAGTGTTTTACCCCAGTTAAGAGGTAAGCCCTCAGGGGTGGGTGAACTCGGAGCAGTCTCCTCTGGGTGGCGGCGGGCCTGAGCTTCTTCTGAGGTCCTGGGTTGGAGGGTGGGGCCGGGATGGGCGGGACCTAGATGGGCGGGGCCGGGATGGGCGGGGCCTACCCGAGTGGGCGGGGCCTACCTGAGCAGACGGGCTCCGGGCTGCTCCAGTGGGGCTTGGAGGCGTTAATGCAGGTCAGCGTCTTGGCGCCCTGCAGCTCATAGCCCAGGTGGCAGTGGAAGTGGGCCACCCCGCCCGAGTGCAGGTCCATCACGGTGACGTCCCCGGAGTCGGGCCGGCGGGGGAAGTTGCAGCTGAGCATGAAGGCTGGGGAGAAGGGCAAGGACAGAGGCCGTCACCCCATCCCGCCAAGGGGGTGGCCAGGACGCAACCCACATTCCAGGGGCCCATTTGTGCTGAGGAGAAATGACAAGGCCCTGGGGACGCGGAAGGGGGTTGTGCCTTTCACTGATCCCCGAGTAGCACTGTCTCGCGGCTCAAAACTCCTGGCTCCGCCTAGCTAGTGACAGCAGCTTTGGGGTTAAAAACAACTCCCTGGCCCCACTGAGTCTCTCTCTCACACTGGAGGGCAGGTGTCGCCTGTGCACCTCCCTGTGCTGGTTTAGATGTTAGAAATGCAGCCTCTGCAGGACGGGCCCCCTATGTTCTCAGCCTGTCCTCCCAGCGGCTCCGGAGGCTGAGGCACGAGGATCACGAGTTCAAAGCCAGCCTCAGCCACAGCGAGGCCCTAAGCCACTCAGTGAGACCCTGTCTCTAAATAAAATGCAAGATAGGGCTGGGGTGGGGCTCAGGGGTCGAGGGCCCCTGGGTTCAATCCCTGGTACCCCCCAAAAAATAAAAATAAAAAATAAAAAAAAGCCCCTGGCTGGGGAGGCAAAGCCGCTGGGAGGACACATGTGTGGTCCCCGTCCTTACTCTCTCACTTGGAACCCCGTGGCCCTGAGACTCATCTCCCTGACCCTCCTGCTCTTCCTCTTCCTGGGGCAGTGCAAAGATGAAAGGAGATCCTGCTGGGGGAGGGCGGCCGAGCACGGGGCTGGCGCACAGTAGGTTTTCAGGTGGTGGGGTGCTGGTGGGGCCTGAGCCCTGCGCAGCGCCTGATGTCAAGGTCATGCTGACCCCACTCCTGGACGGCGGTTGGGCATGGAACACCTGTCTTGGCTCCCAGCGTGTCTGGGGAGGAAGTTCGTGTTCACGGTTTCAACGAGTTATTTTCTCTCTTGTTTTGGGTCCGTGACAACAGCACAGGGGGGTCTCAGATCACCAGGTGTGAGGAGGTGGGCCCCTCTGTCGATGGCCCTCCCCCTGGTGCAGAGCCCTCCCCCTGGTGCAGAGCCCTCCAGGGAAAAGTCAGCAATGATTTGTTCTTCCAGCCGCCTGGTCCATCATGGACAGGGACCCCCAAATCCAGATGTGTGGCCAAGGGCTTCACCGTCCAGGTGGGTATGTTGGTGACTGGCAAATATCCAAGGAGGGGCTCTTAGTTAAGAAAAGGGACATTTGACATCACAGAGCAGCCAGGAGGTGAGAAAACGGGGGGAGAGGAGAAGGGAGGAAGGAGAGAGGGACAGGAAGGAAAAGAGGGAGACATAAAGGGAGCCAGAAAGCAAGGGAAGGAGGAGAGAGGACGAGGCGAGAGGGAGAGAATCAGGCAGGAAGCAAGTGGGGGAGACCTGGAGACAGAGGGCTGCTGGGGCCGCAGGCTCTTCTTCGGGAGTCCAAAGGAGCCTCAGAGGGGACCCAGGGCCATGGACTTGAGCAGGGGGAGTGGCAGCTTATTTCCATCAGCCCCTAGCGGGTCTCCGGGACACCTGTCCCTCATGGCTGCAGGCAGCACGGGGTTGGCTTATTAGCGGAGCCTGCGAGTCTGTCACAGGAGCAGCGCGGATCATTTTCTAGCATAATGTCTATCCTGACACATTTCCCTGAAATCGCAGTCATTACCAGAAACGTGAGGGGATGTTATCTAATGCAGGGATACGGCAGCTCGCGGATTATGGCGATATTTTGACAACGTGACTCAAGGGGACTGGCTCCTTTGGGGACCGCAGACTCCCGTTGCTGCCGGAGACACCATCCCGAGAAGGGCTGTCACCTAACTCCACCTCCCGAAGGCTCAGTGGGGCCGGAGGGACACGGAGGCGGGCGCCCCGTCTGGTGGCCTGGCCTGGCGTACCCTGGTAGTGCAGCTGGAAGGTCCCGGGCCCGTCGTCCTGGAAGGTCCGGAAGTAGACGGAGATGGTGTTGGTGGGGCTTCGGATCACCTGCCCCTCCACCAGGAGCGTCTGGTTGGCCAGGACCGTCAGGGTGGAGCCGTCCACGCCGCGGATGGACAGCAGCTCCCCCTCAGACAGGTTCACGCTCTTCACCTGGGGACGGAAGGGACAGACAGACAGAAACGCTGAGCCTTGTCTGACAGGGCAGGCTGCGAGGACATCAGTGTAGCGCCCCAGCTGGCCCAGACACGGCCAATGTGGTACCTGTACCAGCCCCTGGTCCATGGGAACCCCGGGCCCCAAGCCCCAGTCCACAGGAGCCTGGAGCTGTCTGTCCTCTCAGTTCCCCAAAGACCAAGGGGACAGGGTAAAACCAAGCTGGAGGGAAGAGGCCGTGCAAGGGTCCTGTGGTCTGAGGGGCACCCGTGGCTGTCCTGGTCAGAGGCTCCTGGGTGCTGGTGGGTGGCATAGACTCTCCTGGAGCTGAGGGCTGGAAGCAGGGGTCTGGCCAACTTGTGCTTGAGGCCCACTCTCCAGGAGACACGAGAGGACATCTCACCAGTGTCCACTCCGAGAGGGTGGGGATTCTCCATGCTGCTCAGGGACCCCCACCCCCAGGCCTGGAATAGTGCCTGGTTCTAGTAGGTGCTCAATAAACACTTAGGGGGTGATTGAGCACATTCTCCTGCTCTGTGTGAATTGGCAGGTGAGGGCTGGGGTCTCGTCTCTGGGGTATCCTCAGGCCCCTGCACATATCCTCCTAACTGGTGGCTCTTGTCTGCAGGGCCACCAACCCCCTTCCAAAGAACCGTGTTCTTGCTTGGTCTTTCCCACTTTCTAGCATTGGACGAGGGAGAAGGGAGAAACTGCAGTGGTTTCACAGTGAGGATGAACAGAGCGTGTGCGTGTGATTCACACTGCCTGGCCCAAGACTGAGGCCTCAGAGCAGGGCTGGGGACAGAGCCCCTGTGCCCTGTGTCTAAGCAGAGCGAGGCTCTCCCATGAGCCCTTCCTTCTTCAGGCCAGGCATTCTTCTCCCTGATGAACTCCTACTCATTCATCAAAGCCCCACCAAGATGGCCCTCACCTTTGAGACCTTCTCTGAGTCCCAAGGAGCATGCCCAGTGCCCCACCATCCTCTGGGTGGGACCCTTTTTCCGATCCCACCTTCTTCCTTTCCTCTGGGGGACCCTTGGCTGGACAGCATCCCACCCTCAGGCCTGCCTCCAGGGGCGGCCTCCCGGGAAGGCTGGAGCCAGGGTTGTGGGAGTGCCGAGGGCGCAGGGCACCGCGTCCTAAGCATCGTGTCCTGTGTCTGGGGGCTCTGGCCAAGTGCTCTGTGCTCTCTCTGGATCGCTGGGTTTAGTCCTCCTTCGAACTGATAACAGTACTTCTATTTTACGGAAAGGGAAGCTGAGGTTCAGAGAGGTGAAGATCTTTCCCGGGGCTGCACAGCTTTGACGGAGCTGAGACTTAGCACATGGAGGTGTGAGCTCCCTGCTTTTCTTTCCATTCACACAGAAATGTTTAAGAATCCAATGAACCAGGCGGGGCCTCCCCGTGGGTGTGTGCTGAGCAGCAGGGTACCAAGGGCCTTCCTCCTGGGGGGAATGCCCCACCATCTCGGTTCCATGATTCTCCAGGGGCTCTCAGCTGGGGACCCCTACTCTCTTGTCAAAACCCAGCTCAAACAGCCCTGGTGGGAGAGAAAGAGAACCTAACTGCTCAGGTGACAGCGGGAGGCCTGGCGAAGACCACCCTCCCGAGAGGTCCTGCAGGGGGAAGTTGGCAGGCCCCTGCCGGGTTACCTGGAGCTCCACCCCGTAGCCGGTGTAGACGGTCACGTTGTAGGTGCACTCCAGGAAGCTGTTGAAGGGCAGCGGTGGGTAGTCGCTGGAGTCGATGTAGCCCTCGGGGTCGGAGAAGCTCACGCTGCAGAGGGCTGAGGGGAGCACTGGATCAGGACAGGGGCCACACACGCGGAGGCTCAAAGCCCACGGGGGGGGGGGGGGGGGGGGGGAGGGGGAGGGCTTCTAGGGGAAACCGCGTTTTCCTGTCCCTCCTGCTGCTGTTGACTCCTTAGCTCTAGAACGGATATGATCATCAAAGTGGCAATAAAATACCCAAACCAAGCCACTAAGTGCTGCTGGAATCCTTTCTAAGCAGCCTGCAGGGCTGACCCACTTATCCCCATAGGATCCTCAGATCCATTTTAGAACCAGGTCAACAAAGGCTCAGAGAGGGTGGCTGGGTGGCCAAGCTCACACAGCAAACGCGAGTCAGACCCAGAGCTTACACTCTTCAAGGACACCCCACCTTGCTGGGCTGTTGGGGGCCCCTCTCCCACAGGTGAAGGACTCAGTGCAGAAGTGGCACGGTCCCCGCATCTAGAGGAACACACGCAGAGCCGCGCCTGGACATTACCAGAGGCTCGCTCGGGCACTTCCTCAGATGTCAAAGTCTGTGCAGGCACCGGTCCCTTAGGAGAAAGGGTGTCCTATGTTCAGAAGAACCTGTGACCCTTTACCTACTTCATTTAGATTATTGTATATTCGTGTCATTATTTGTAATCCTGGCTACCCTCTGAATGCTGGGCGAATAGTCATCCTAGGGCATGGATTAGGGAATAAGGATGGGAAAGTTTGTACATGATTAGTGCACGTGCAAGTTTTCTCTCTTTCTCTTTTTGGTACCTGGGATTGAACCCAGGGTCACTTAACCCGAGCCACATCCCCCGCCCTTTTAATATTTTATTGAGAGACAGGGTCTGGCTGAGTTGCTTAGGGCCTCGCTGTGGCTGAGGCTGGCTTTGAACTCTCGATCCTCCTGCCTCAGCCTCCTGAGCTGCTGGGATGATAGACAAGTGCCACCATGCCCCACAGATACAGAGGACAATGTCATGATGAAAGGAAGTGTCCCTGGGGCAGCTGGGGACGTGGGGGCTCGCTTGGCACATGGAGGCCCTGGGTTCAGAGCCCAGCTCTGCAAAAAGTGGGGTGGGCGGCTCTGGAAAGGCCAGAAGGCCCCTCTGCCGGCCAGTGTCGCTCCCCCGGAACGGGGACGTCCGCTGGGCGGCAGCCGAGGGCCGCGGGCTGAGTACCTGGCGCCTGCTCGGTGGTGATGACCGTGGTGGTGACGATGGTGGACGTGGTGGTCTCCTGGCTGTCCTCGGAGGCCGAGCCTGTCAGCTCGTTGTCGCCCTTGTCCATCAGGGTCACGGTGCTGGCGTCGTCGGGGGTGGCCTCGTGGGCGTCCCGGGGCGCAGCGGGCTCCTGGGGGCCGGGCCCCTGCGGGAGCGTGTGGGCCACCCAGGGCTGCGAGGTGAAGGGTGCCAGCTGCGGCGGCGCGGGCGTGGTGGGGACCGTGCCCTCCTCCCGCTCCGGCCAGCTGCCCACCTCTGAGGACGGTTCGGA